GAGTAAAATTATCTTTTTATAGCAGCAGTTCAAAGAGTTCAAAGACTTAATTTGACAGGGCTATGGATGCAATTTTTGATAATTATTTACTTAAAAGTACACAGATAAACAGACATTGCTGTCTGAAGAGACAATTATGTCAAGCCAAATGTTTGTGATTTTGTATATATGATTTTTGTTTTGTTTTATTTTAGTGCTTTGATTTAATTTTTATACATCATCTATCTAGAGACTAGATTGCTTCACCTTACATATTGGAACATATATCCATAAATTGAAGCATTGTGGCCATCCCAGGTAACTGTAGAATTAGAACACAGTCAGTCAGTTACAGTAGTTGGACTAAGATGTTACACAGATAATTGTGTAACTTTAGAACTTATTTAAATTGTTAACACTGTATGATGCTCTATAAAATATATGACTAGATCTAAGTTTCCCAGAAACCATTGAGAAGCAAGTAACTTAAATAATTATTTAATGTTCTGTAGAAATTCAGATCAAGTATATGGTAATAGCCTTATTGCTGAATCAATGCTAGAAACACACATCTTAACAAGTGCATGATTTAGATAGACTTCAACAGTTGCATTTCTCAGTCTGCTTGGTTTAGAATGTATTATAATATTCCATTTCTTAAGGATGGTATTGGTAACAATTCCTGGATATTCTGTAGTAACTTTAAGATATCATTCTTAAATAGTTAAAAAAGCAGTTAAAGTTTTTTATTATTTAAAATATATAATATCATTTTGGTTTTTGACAGATAAGTTAATGGGATGGTAAATATATGAAGAATTTATTTAAAAATTATGCAATATTGGAATTTATTTTTTTTCTTATTACCTACAATCTCAATTTCATAGACTCTGTAAGTCAGTGGTCATAATCTGAAGTTCCATTTAATCAAACCTAGTCTTAGAAGCAGTAGAGGACCTTTAAATCTAAAGTCTCTGAGTTTTGTAACACTTCTTTGTATATTAACCTTTTGTCTTTGCTGTGACTTTATTTGTAAAGCTGTAAAATAAAATCAGTGAGAGAAAATGTGTCCTATAAGAATTTAATCTATCTACATAGCATTTCAAAGCCATGCCATTTCAACGATTTTCTAAATGCTTTTTAATTCATAAAGAGACTCTCACATATGGAATATTCACTTTCATTCAATTTCTGTCACCATCACATGAAAAGTGAGCTCAGTATTCAGAAGTATAATGAATGCATGATTTAAAAATCTTAGCTCATGAAGACAGTGATTTTTTTTAATTTGAGATTTTGAAGTTTTATAGAAGTTATTTTGGAGTCCACTATAGTGTACCAAAGTGGTCATATTGAAGGGCCAGGAGCATAGATTTTTATTTTAAATTACTCATTGTTCCTGTTACCTTGCATTTTTGCCCTGTAGCATTGGTTGACATTTCATAAAGACTGAGTTGGCATAGGGCTTTAAAAGATGTAATTAGAAGAATCATCTGCTCTTGAGTTTCCTATTATATACTAGTCATGATTCAGGCAGACTTTTCATAGGTGCTTGGTTTAGAATGAGAAGTTTTCTTCTTCCATGACCTGTGATTAAAATGTGGTATCTTGATATATAAATAGAAGATAGATTCTGCATAATCCAGCTGTGAATCAGAGCTGGTGAAGCAATGTAAGTCTTTGACCTGTATCACATAAGCAGTAGAATATGTAATTGAAAATATATTTTAAGATTAAGTGAAATAAACCTTTTTTAATACTCTGTAGCTTAAAGCAGGCTAAGTGCTAAAATGTACCAAGATTAATATTAAAGGAAGTTTTGCTTCACTTAATGCTCCTCAAAGGAATTCAAATACAAAAAAATTCTACTATGACAACATTTGAAAATGAAACTTACTTTTACAATACTGTTTGCATAACAGACTTACCTGTTGCACTAATCTTTATAAATTATTTTGGTTATTGTTGAAAGTTTGAATTAACCGACTGTGGAATTATACATTGAGTTCCTGATGACAGTTTGTGTCTTTTCTAGGTACTCAGTAATGGATACATTTTTCCATACATAATTAATTTGTGGATGATAATCTATCTGTAAAGATATTTTGTATAAATAAACACACAAAAATATCTTTACAGATATATCAAAACACATTAGCTTTTTACAAAGATTTTATACCTTTGTATATCTAAACCATTAATTTAATTTACATTAGAAAGATTAGACTACAGTATCAATGCTATCTTCTATTTAAAATTTTGAAATGTTCTATATTAATAAAACAAAACCCTTAGGATGATCCATATGAACCATCTAATTTTAAAACATTTTTGACTTTATGTAGCAACAGGAATGTATTCTTAGAGTAGGTATCTTTGAATTGCATGCTGTTTAGAGAGAGAGAGAGGCATTCATTTGTATTCCATTAATATCATTATATCTACTCTGTTGTTTCACTGTGTTCATTATAAATATTCTGTGCCCAAAGTTTTTATTTTCTCTTCACATAGTGTCTCTAGAATTTCCCTTAATTATATTCATCAATACTATTCTGTAGTTATATACCCTATGTATTTCACCATGTTATCATTGCAGATATTATGCCAACTTTTTTTTTTGCAAAAAAGGTGGGATGCCATCATTATGTGAAGTTTATTTTTTAAAACTGTGCTGGTATTACTTTAATATAATTTATTATGAAACAGTCTTTGGCACAAGATTAGATGCATGGAATACTTTTAAATGTACATTAAAATGAGGTAGTCCAAATTAATGCACATCATTTCTTTGTGACAGTTTAGCAAGGATTTTTCCCATATGAAATAAAAGTGAACACATTAGTTGTTATTGATTTGTGAATTTTGGCCAAAATATTACACTTAAGAAAATTTACTATACTATAGTTTTACAAAGTATGAACTTACAAAATTTAATCTTCTGTGTTCGAAGATCCTGTTCCACTATCATTAGTTTCATTACCTGATGTAGCATCCTCAGTGCCACTTATAAAAGACGTGTTTACTGTTGGTACTCCAGTGCTCCAAACAAACCATTCATGTTGGCTTTTTGAAATATGCTGACAGTGCACATGCACTGAGAATTCTAGGCACCTAGTGGGTAAAAAGACAAATGTGCTTCCATATGCTACTGGTAAATACATCACTGTTCTGTTTATCTTTTTAACAGCATGAGGTTCAGAATTATACCATGAGACAAATATGCAATGAAAGGTTATAAGCCAATTTTTGGACTGAAAAATAGGGTGTGGCAATTATGTGGCAGCAACAATTATGTGGTGAAATTTTGTATTCCATATGCTCTGTAGTGAAGAAAAGTCTTCCTATGAAGTCTTTTCTCTTGAAACATTTGATTTGGTAGACCTCTCACTCTTTCTCAAAATACCAGGTTTGGAATATGATAGTCACTCAATGAATGTTAGTTAAACTATGAATGGAAAAAACCTAAATTCTCCCTATCTTGTTTCAGTGAGGTTTTACTAGCCAGATTCTATTCACTGCTTTATCTTCCTCTTTGACTCCTCTCATTCTTTCTTTTTTAAATATTTTTTATTTGTAGATGGACACAATGCCTTTATTTTATTTGTTTATTTTTTTAATGTGGTGCTGAGTTTCAAACCTAGTGTCTCACATGTGCTAGGCAAGTGCTTTACCACTGAGCCACAAACCCACCCCCTCTCTCTTCCTTTCTTATATATAGCCCTGAAAGTTTCAGTCTGTATTTATTTGTTTTTTTTTTCCTTTCATTACTCTTTCATTTACTGAAAATTTAAACGTTGACTAAGCAGCTAGCTGCATTCTTTTCTTCCATACCATCTTTTCTGCAAAGCTTTTCAAACAATCTCCAATAGCCTTCTGAACATTACTATTTGGGGTATCATGTCATTATTATTTTTTTCCAAAATAATTGAAACCCAACTCATAATATTCCTACAGTACTGTATTCTTTATGTATTTTCTTATTGTTGTCACAGTACTACTCTTTTAATAGCCACTGCTCATTTTTATCCTTTTTGATTCATTATTCATACTAAATGTCTGTTCTCTTAGACAATTTGAGTTTTTCTTCCATTCTCTTACCAATGTTTGTAAATATATTATTAGTGTTCTTGAAACTAGTCGTCTTGAAGTCATATCCTATGAAGTACTGCTTGATTTTACTTCTTAAACTAATACTTTCTTCATGAATCTCTTTTCATCTAAAACTTTTAAGAACTGCCCACTGTCAATGGAAGTGATTCTCAAAAGTTATTTGTTTGTGTGTGTGTGCACGTGTTTGTGTGTTTGTTTTGTTTTGTTTTTTACTATAAATCTTTTGTTAAATCTTACATGAGTTGTACACAAGAAAACATTAACTCTAGAGATGTTTGGAATAAAAGTAGTTCAAACCTTTTTACTTGATCTTCACCTGCAAAACCTGTTCTGGTCACTTTCAAAGAATTTTGGGGCATTATAGAATACAATTTGAAACCCATTGTTTTATGTATAAAAATCTTATTTAGGGTTAGACTCTGTTCCACTCAATGTGTTAACTACATCCAGTTTTCCACTGAATTTTCATCTTTGTGTCTTGGTTCCTATTATGTTTAACTCTCAGAGTGTTGTTAAATCACCTTTCTGCCTTAAAAATCCTATTCATATTTCCAAATGAAACTCAAAAAACTATCTCCTCATGGAAAAAGTAAATGAACATTTGGGAAATAAAGGAGTTATGTGTTATTTTAATGATATATATGTATCTTGTGGAAGTATTATTTTCTACTTCTTGGAAATTGCTGCTGTATTACATTTAGTTACATTTAATTAGATGTCACCATTTTATGCTTTATGTTTCAAAACCCTGAACTGAATGATTTTAAGTATTCAGAAAGAATGGGCTCAGCATTGTTTGTTCCTAACTTTATGTATTAAGAGTACCAACCTAAGAATAACATACATATGACTCAAATCAATAATTTTATAATACATACTTTATTATGATTTTTATGTTTCCTTTTCTCCAGGGCCTGCAGCATACAATCCTGTTTTAAGGAAATCTTGCCCCATACCCTTATTTGTTAAAGCATCAAAGAGGTTTGAAGATACCAAGGAGATTACTCCTGGCCCAGCATCATATGAGGTTTGTCAATGATATCGTACTATTAGCAGTGACACAAGAATAGAATGATTTCCAGAGAGTTCTGAAAATGTATACATTATGTTATTCTCCTATTTTTTCATATTAGTGGCTAATCAAATTGTTTTACTCAAGGAAGATTTATCAAGATATATTTGACATTTTAAAAAGAATTATTAGAGAATTATTTGAGTTCAATAATATGTATCAACGAATGTCCTCTATAGCATTTAGATATAATTTATTTATATTTCTCCAAGTTTTAAAATTGGTTACAGTTTTGTATTATAACCCCCTAATATTTATTAAAATCAGATGCTATTAAAAGGCTTAGAAGAAAGCCTAGGGGATTGAATAAAGTTGAGTATTGATATTTTATTATATTTTATTAAATGTGAATACTGCACTTTAGACTGTAATAAATAAGGATCTCTTAAATAATGAGCCTTTTAATTATAAGAAGGAGGTCTGTTTAAACTTGCAGAATTTTAGAATATGTTTCTGCAATAGGTCTTTATTGTTTTTATGAGAGTTAGGATGAAATAACTCCTTCATTCTTGCCATACTAACTATTGAGAATTAAATATTTAACAGTGTTTTTAAATAATTAATTTAAAAGTCAATTCTGAGTGCAAAATAGATGTTCCTTTTGGAGTTAATTACAAGCCTATTTTATTGAATATATATTTTCAATTTATTTTAATTTCATAATCTAAGTCATTTTTCAGTGTCTGTCACAGGTAGGTTTATAACATAATATCAGGAAACAAAATAAAAATATGTGAATAATCAAAAAGTTGATGTTTTAATTGTTGGCTATTGATTCCTCCAAATAATGGTCTCTAATACTTGATGATTAAACAAACTGATTGAATAGACTTAACTTCAGAAAGTGAGAATCTGCTAGAATCTTTCAAGTATTCCAGAAGGCAGAAGTCAACGGAGGATATTTATAAGGTTTAGGGAGTAGACTGGATAAAGAAAGGCAAATCCTGCAAATGGAGAACTGGTTGGGACTGGACAAAGTTTATGACATATCAGATCTTTAGCTGAATACTTTTCTTTCCTTTTAATAACTGTTTTAATACTATTCACAAATAATAAATGCCATAAAATCTAAATTTATATTTTTTTCATTTTGTGATGTATACTTCATAATTGATACTCTCACTAGTGTTTATAAATCTAATATGATATTTATAGATATCCTTCATCATAGTCTTTATTATGTAAAATCATTTTCAATGTTATTAGAAAACATTTATAGATTTAACAATGTTTATTCAAATATTGCCTGAAATTTCACCCTAATACATACAATCTGCATTACAAAGTAACTTTTATGTTCAGAACTGAGTCTGTAATTATTTTTTTGTCTTCTTAATATGATAATTGAAAAGTTTTTGAACAAACATTTGTCTTTCATACTTTTCCTTTTTTAAAGTTGCTTCTGAACTTATAGGCTGATAAATTACTAGTCTTTTTATTATGATTTGATCTTATGTATTTTTTATACCCTTATGACTTCAGTAAGTTTAAATTGCACTTTTTGGAGAACATGCTTCTTTTACCATTGTACATTTTTTTGTGAAAAAGGAGAATTCTAATATTTCTTTAAATATAAATGTACTTTTAGTTGTAGGTAGACACAATCTTGTACTTTGGAGTCTTATTAAGGAAGTTGGGGCCTAATCCCACATGATGGAGATTAGAGCCTACTTTTTCTTCTATTAGATGCAGAGTCTCTGGTTGAATTCCTAGGTCCTTGGTCCACTTTGAGTTGAGTTTTGTGCATGGTGAGAGATAGGGGTTTAATTTCATTTTGTTGCATATGGATTTCCAGTTTTCCCAGCACTATTTGTTGAAGAGGCTATCTTTTCTCCAATGCATGTTTTTGGCACCTTTGTCTAATATAAGATAATTGTAATTTTGTGGGTTATTCTCTGTGTCCTCCATTCTGTACCATTGTTCTACCAGTCTGTTTTGGTGCCAATACCATGCTGTTTTTCTTACTATTGCTTTGTAATATAGTTTAAGGTCTGGTATGGTGATGCCACCTGCTTCATTCTTCCTGCTAAGGACTGCTTTAGCTATTCTGGGTCTCTCATTTTTCCAGATGAATTTCATGATTGCTTTTTCTATGAGGAATGTCATTGGAATTTTGATTGGAATTGCATTAAATCTGTATAGTGCTTTTGGCATTATGGTCATTTGGATAATATTCATTCTGACTATATAAGAGCAAGGTAGATCCATGTGCTTATGAAAAGAATCTGTATTCTGTACCTGGTGGATAAAATGTCCTTTAAATTTCTCTTAGTTTTATTTGGTCTACCCTATCATTTAAATATGATTTTTTTGTTGATTTTTCTGATTATATAATCTTTCCATTGATGAAAGTGAGGTGTTGAAATCCTCAACTATCACTGTGTTGGATTTTATCACTAATGTTTTTTTTTTTTTACATGATTGAGTATCAATGGTTGTGTTCATATATATTTACAATTGTTATGTTTTCTTTTGTTTTGATCTCTTTATTATTAAAAGTGATTTCATCTGTCTCTGCTTACATTGTTTTTTCTTAGGAGGGTTGAACCCATGCTAAAAAAGTGCTCTACTCTTGAGCTATACCACTAACATGCCCATCTTTGTACCTTTTTAAACTTACAGTTTAATTTATCTGATATAGGTATAGTTATTCCTTCTTGATTTTGGTTTCTATTTGTGTGAAATATTTGTTTTCACCTCTTCACTTTCATTCTGTGAGTCTTTATGGTTTAAATGTGTTTCTTGGGAATAACATATCATTTGTTCTCATGTTTTTATCCTTTTAGTCAGTTTAAAACTTGACATTGGGGATTTTAATCCATTTACATTCAAAGCTAGTATTGATAGGTAAGAACTCCTGTCATTTCATTATTATTTTTTCTTGTTGTTTTGTATAGCCTTTGTTCTCTTTGTGGTTTGATGATGTTCTATATTGATAAGGTTTTATTCTCTTGTCTTTCTCAGTGTATCAGCTATACTGTTGAATTTTATATTTTCAAATGTTTCCATAGGGTCGCTACTTTCCTTTTGCTTCTCGATGTGGAGATTCTTTAAGCATTTCTTTTATGGATGGTCTGGTGGTAGTATTTTATTATCTTGTAAAGACTATTTCTTTTTTATTTCTGAATTATGGACTTTCTGGTTATAGTATTGTTGGTTCGAAGTTTTTTCCTTTAAACTTGAATACATCATCCTGACCTGTAATGTTTCTGCTGAGAAATTTCTTTGTCCAATTGTGATTCTCTTATATTTGACTTGATGTTTGTTGTTGTTGTTGTTTGCTGTTTTTAGAATATCTTTTTTGTTGTACTTTTACCAGTTTGACTATAATATGTCAAAGAGGACCTTTTTTTGTCTGAATTCAGTTGGGGTTCTTTGAGCTTCATGGATGTTTGTATTTTCCCTAAGATTTGGAATATTTTCACTGACTATTTCATTAAATAGGGTTTTCTATGCCTTCCTTTCTTTTCTCTTTCTGGAAAACTAATACTTAAAAAATGTTTAATTGTATTTCATAAAGCTTTCTTCATTATTTTTTTTGTCTGATATGGTTATTTCAAAAAATCCATGTTGCTTTTTGAGTCCTTTGGCTGATTAGGAGAGCCAGTAAGCAGCTTCCCAGAGTCCTGGGAAGTGGGTGGGTACAATAAGCATCTTCCCAGGCTGGAATGGTAATCAAAGCCTCTTTATGAGATTGAGGATGGATATGGTTTGAAGATGGCACTGTGCAACAGAAGCCAGGGTGGCATATGGCCCAGCATGGGCTGGTTCTTTTACTGTGTTAATACATTGGCATATATTCCTGGTTTCTCTCCAAACTGGATCAGGGATAGTTATGGACATAGGCTACTCTAACAGCACATTCTTTTGGTGTACATAGGGCTAGTAAAGGTTGGTGCACTCACCAGGGACAAAATATGAACCCCAGTGGCACACAAATGGTTACTCACCTCCTCCAGCCACTCCCACTTACCTAGTTACTACCCAGGTAATCCACCCAAGTGGGTTAATGCACCAATTAGGTTAAGGCTGTCAAAACTCAGTCATTTCACCTCTAAATTTTCTTGTATTGTCTTAAATATGCACTTTGGGGAGATATCACCTACCTAAACTATAACAGGATCTGAGAATTCAAAAATGAAACTAAGTACATCCAAATATGTACCAATATAATAATAAAAAATTAATATAAATATTTTAATTTTAATAAGATTATTGTACTGGGAATAGATGAAAGGTACCAAGATATATGGATTAAGGAATCCCTAAGTTAGTCAAAGGGCACCAGAAAAACTTCACAATGTCTTTGTTTTAAAATACAATAGAATAATAGGACTTTTCTCTTTAGATATGTCAAAAGAGCATGTTCCAGGCACAGAAGACAATATATGCAAAATCAGAGAGGCACTGAGGAATAGAATATTCTTGGAAAGCTTTTATTATCAGTAGTGCTTAAATATAAAATAGTTTGATAGTAGATATTTACACAGTATGAAATCACAGTTATTATTATTCTGCTGAACTTTAGGTAGACATTGAGAATTTCTAAGTAGAATTATGTTATATATTTATGTAAATCAATCCAAACTCAATTTTATTTTTTAATATTTACACATTTATTTTTCTTATTTATCTTGATAAATTGCTAATAAAGAATGATAAAAGGATTATTTAAATATATATTGTTTGATACTTGGTGAAGGTTAGTTCCATAGTCCATTTCCAAATGTTTATATTATTTTTGTAGAAAAAATTTGGTTTAGTTATTGTATATATGTTTTAAAATGTGACTTACATGTCTGCTTTTAAAAATTCAATTTTATTCCTTAGTTTTAAAGTTTGTAGCACAGTATTTCATATCATTCAGAAATGTAACTTAAACTTTTGCTTTTAGAAATTGGTTTTACACTTCAATTGTAAAGGTCATAGCATATTACTTAATACCTCAAAGTGAA